TCTCCTACAAGGAAACAGACAACCACTATCCTTATCAGAAGGGAATGGGCCCTATTTGTTGTGGGATAAACAGTGGTGTCTGCTTGGTCTAGATGGGTGATAGCTCTTAGGGAGAATGACCCCTGATATACTTCTGATAACCTCCAAGTGTATAGTCATTTGAAAGCAGCTAAGTTTGGCATATATTTGGGGGAGACAACTTGGGAGAAATCCTTCTGTTTCCCACAGAATACAACCACAGGTGATAGTACTAAGATGAAGAAGTTTGTTCTTTGATCTAGCAACAATTCCTGTTTGTTATTTGCATATAAATATATCTAATTTACATTTATGTCTGCTTTCAACCAATACTTTGTTCACCATTCAATTTTTTTTTTCCCTTTTCCATTTGTATAAGCAAAAAGTGAATTTGAGATGCCTTTGGTCAACTTCAAAGCCAAAGTCTAAATTATGCTTTTTCTTTCTGGTATCATTCATTAGTAGATGCGATTGGCTGTTATAAGCCGGGTAGATAAAAGCCAACAGTATGACCCTTCCAAGTCTCACTCACCTTTCTTTTATTCTCATTTTATGATCTTAGTGGTTTGTGGCAGACACTGTGAAAATGGAGGTGAGTGTCTTGCACCAGATGTTTGCCAGTGCAAGCCTGGCTGGTATGGCCCCACCTGTAGTACAGGTAAAGTCAGAACTGTGGCTTACTGACTATTTCTATTAACAGAAACTTACAATGGGGCAATGTCCTAAAGACTTGCACCTAAGAAACATAACGCTGATCTGACAAGATGGGGATGAGATTATGATTTGGGGATGGATTTTTTATAAAGGGCAGGCTGCTGTTGCATTGATTCCAACAGATTGTGACCCATGTGTAGCAGAGCAGAACTAAGCTCCATAGGATTTTTGATGGCTGATTTTTTTAGGAAGTAGATCACCTTCCAGGTGCCTCTGTGAGGATTCTTAACTTCCAAATTATGTTGCCACATGAGTGTGTTAACTCTTAGTAATCTCCAAGGACCCCAGGTTTTTAAAATCCTTATCTGTAATCCCCATTGTTTTTCTTTTTATATTAGATGTACAGTGTTGTGAAGATTTACTGTAATTCCATCCAGGCCCTCCACCTTTTTTGGTATCTTTGTATTTTCTTGTATCACCTGTTTGAGTGCAAAGAGAAACAGATCTCTAGTGCACCTTCTACGTCTGTTAATTTTTGGGCATGTACGCTTCTTATATATCATTGAACACCCAAGTCATTCTGAATGAAGTAGACACCCATTATTTTAGTACTAATGCAATTCCCTTGATTTTCCACAGATTCAGGCTTGCCTTTTTGGCAGCAGTTTTTGTGCCTATCTATGCTTAACCTAACCTTGTGATTTTCTTAATGTCAACTCAATTAAACATTTATGACTTATCAACTCTGTGTGAGTCATGATGTAAGGAGAGGTGAAGATCAATATAATTTTCCCTTATTGCAAGTAGCATATTATTAGTGCAGAATATGTAGATTATAGTTATAAAAATTGACTGTGATAAAAGTTGACTTATGATAAACAATGTAATTGATGTAGTTAGTTCCTTGGAAGCAGAGAAGGGGAAAATTAATTCCAGCAAATGGAATGTAGAGTAAAATAGTATTTAAAGTGATTGTAGGAGAATGGGCAGACTCTTCTTTTAAAAATAGGGTTTTGAAGGCGAAGGTGAAGCCATAGCGAAGAAGTGAACAGAGTGGGCTTGAGTGTATTAGGGTCTGCGAGCGGCGTTCCTGCGTGAGTAGGGTGACTTCAAGAGTTAGACTTGGACAAATCCACGTGAGCAGAGTAGACGCCATCCAGCGAGTTCTGCTGAATTGTCTTTTGTGTGTGTGTGACTTCTTATCATTTCTGCAGTTTGCCAAGGGCATTCTGGATTCTAATCATAGCCTCCACATTCTTTGGCATTATTTGTAAATGGAGTGAACACAGAGTCACACACTATTAATCAGTTATTTCATTCCTCCGCTTTTATGTTTTGCAAAGTTTAATTAAATATAGGTTATGGCTTTTACTTGCAATAAAAGTAAAGTATTTCATTATGCACTGCTTTGTTCTTCTGTGCAGCTTTCTTTAAACAAGTAAATTTTATGGTCTCGTTTCTTCTGCTGTTCATTAGCTTTGTGTGACCCGGTTTGTCTCAACGGTGGTTCCTGCAAGAAGCCAAATACTTGTCTCTGCCCAAATGGATTCTTTGGTGCACAGTGTCAGAATGGTAATTAGCCCTTCTTTACAAAATCAATGGGAAAGTTATTCATGCACCGAGCTTTGAGGGAACTCGAAGAGGCATGTTTCTAAGGGGAGGATGCAATTTCCTTAGAGATGTTATTTACTGTATTTCTTCAGACAGTGCAGGTTTTCCGCTGAATAACCAGTGCATAGAAACCTATCAGTTAATGTATAAAAGGATTATACTCCTCTAATACACGTTTGACTTGCAGCCTTGTCACTTGTCTGCACAGTTTCAGAGGTCTGAAAAAGAAAGTCCTCTTGCAGACTATTATAATGCAATGGCATCATTTTTGCTGCCTTCACAGCAAAAATGAATAAATAAAAAAGTTGATTTATGGTCAGTCTATTGCCCATTATGGTCAGTCTAATGCCCATCACCATCCCATGATCTCTGTTGAATTTAGTTTCATCCAACATTTTGGAAGAGCTGACTATGTACCACAGTAGACAAGGTGAGATGGGACATATAGGTCCATCATGTCCACCCTTCATGGTCCATTTGTTGGCCCCTTCCATAACTGATCGTGAATGTTGTCATTCCCATCAGAACAATGGAATGCTTTGAGGCTGACAGAGCAGTGATGAAATAATATCAATAAATCATAAAACGTACTCTCTGCATCTTCATACACTAAATATTTACAAAATGCAGGACACATTATGCATAGAACAGGTCACCAGTTAATTAGTACAATCCATCCTTCCCTTGCCATGCTATGCTTTACTTCACTATACCATTGTGGGTTCTTTGGAGTTCTGTTAGCCTTCTCAGGACGTTAAGGCAGAACAGAAACCATCACTCTACTGTGAACTGTGTGGACATAGGAAATTAGTTTCTCTTATTCTGATTTACTTAAAAAATTAGTTTGAGAAATGAAAAGAACTAAGGACTAAATTAGGTTATACCTTGAAAACCAGGAGGCAATTGCTAAAGACTGGAGGTTTTGCCCCAGAGTTTCAGGTGTGGCTCTGAGGGGACAATGGAACAGCAGAGAGGAGGCTGTGCATCTCATGCTACTTACAGTAGATGGGAAGGAGAGCAAGAATACCTCTTTGTCTCCAAAACTTATATGTCAGCCTATACAACTGGATGAGAATATATAAATGAAGAAAGTTTTTTTTTTAAATGAAGAAAGTATTAAGTTGAATTAAATTGTCTGTTGAACATATGAAGGCGCTTTAAAAAGTTATAGAAAAGTAGAATACAAACATGGATTTTTCCCCACAGACTTTTTGAAGTCCTCCCCCACCCTATATGCCATGTGCTTAAAAAAAATCTCACTGCTGGCCATCAAACTGAGAAGCAACAAAGCCTACATGGAAGAAGCACACCAGCCTGTATGATCATAAGATGTCAATGGGATCAGGCATCAGGCATCAAAGGCCCAGAACAAAAAAATCATATCAATGTGAATGAGGGGAAGTGCAGAGTGGAGACCCAAAGCCCATCTGTAGGCAACTGGACACAGGGAGGAGACGAGCCCATCTGTAGATGATTGGACATCCTCTTATAGGAGGATCACAAGGAAGAGATGAGCCAGTCAGGGTGCAGTATAGCAGTGACGAAACATACAACTTTACTCTAGTTCTTTAAATCTTCCTCCCTACTACTATCATGATCCCAATTCTACCTTACAAATCTGGCTAGACCAGAGCATGTACATGGGTACAGATAAGAGCTGGAAACACAGGGAATTCAGGACAAATAAACCAATAATGAGAGTAGCGATAACAGGAGGGGAAAGGGAAGGTGTGGGGAGAAAGTGGGAACTGATCACAATGATCTGCCTATAACTCCCTCCCAGGGGGACGGACAACAAAAAAATGTGTTCAGGGAGACATTGATCAGTGTAAGACATGAAAAAATAATAACAATTTATAAATTATCAAGGGTTTGTGAGGGAGAGAGAAGGAGGGGGGGAAATGAGGAGCTGATACCAAGTAAAAAGAAGATGTTTTGAAAATGATGGCAACAAATGCACAAATGTGCTTGACACAATGGATGGACGGATGGGTTGTAATAAGAGCTGTAAGAGACCCCAATAAAATGATTTATAAACCCCACTGCCATCGAGTCAATTGTGACTCATAGTGACCCTATAGGACAGGGTAGAATTGTCCCTGTGAGTTTCTAAGACTGGAAATCATTATGGGAGAAGAAACCTTCATCTTTCTCGCAAGGAGCAGCCCAGTGAGTAATCACTGTGCATAGCAGCCCACTAAGTCACCCAGGATACCACTGGAACCCCCTAGGAAACAGACTGCACCAGTGGGAAGGAAACAGCTTGGTGATATTCTAGTTTCAACAACTAATAGTCCTGGATGTTTAAAACTTCCTTAAACTCTAGAGGCCTTGACTTAGCTTGACTTAGCAAGTTGCTGTGACATATGAACTAGACATAGAGTAGTTTAACTGTACCTACAGTGGATCATCACTACACAGTTAGTCACCACAACTAGACTTATTATTGTCATTTAGATATAACATGGAAGATTCGAGGAAAAGAACAAAAAGAGAAACATGACATTTATTCTTGGGAGGTCAGTTGGTGGCAAGGGAAGATGGCACATACGTACCAAACACAAAGGAATAAAATCAGATTGACTTGCTAAAAATAAATACAAGGAGCACATACTACATGTGCTATGGATTTTCCAAAGAAAAAGAGGGGACCTGAGATAGAAACATCAGGGCTAAACTACTTTATTAACCCAGAATATTCAACATGTATGGCTGGAGAGACATTTAAATTCATCCTCCAATTTTTTTAGCCTTTGGGATGCCATGAGCCAATTCCCTATGGAGGGTGACCCCCATCCAATGACTTGGCTCATGTTGGGGCTTGGTGGGTGATTAATTCATATTTGACCCAAAATACCCAAAATACATGTATGTGGATAGGTTATCCCCAAATCCTACTGTCCCTACAATAGGGTTGGGTGGATATGACTATATTTGTAAGATTTATGCCCTTTCTTAAATGTTAGTTTCTATTTTATGCGTATTGCTCTATTAACAAGTATTTACTATTATATTGAAGTCTTTGTAAATATTTACCAATTATAGCAAGTCTTATACTTTTTCTTCCCTTCTTTTTCTCATTTAACATTTCTACTCATTGGTATTTCCTCTCGGACTTTTGTGATCTAAATAATTAATTTCCCCTAATAAACTAGAAAGAACCTTACATTATATAAATGGAAGGCAATTTCTACATTAATAAAATGTACGAGTATAGCACTCCATGAGAAGAAGTGGACTCAGGCATTAACCAGAAAAGATTCACCCAGAAAGAGTGGGAACCATCTACTTACTGAAAGCACGAAATTATTTTATTTTATCGCTAAAACCCCACATCGCTTTCATTTGTAAATATCTTTTACATCGGAGGACGTTTCCTTCTAGTGTTTAGAAGTTAAGGAAGCAGCTATTCTCGGAGGTTCTAATGAAAATTAGCCACCAACTTACACCAGCACCCTTATTAAAACCAGTTCATTTAACAGGCATTTGTAAAACAGTAAACCAATTCCTAAGCCTGATCTCTCTGAAAAACGAAACCGCCACCTGGTTGGTTCTGACTCGCAGTGAACTTGCAGGATCGTGGAGAACCGCCCCTGCGGGTTTCTCTGACTGTAACCTGTATGCAGTGGAAAGCCTCCGGTCTCGGCCTGGGAGTGGCGGGTCGTTTGAAACTGTTGATTTTGCACCTAGCAGCCCAGCTCCTCGCCACTGGCTCAGAATGTTACCTAAGATTTCAGAAAATTCTTCATCCACCTAATGAGTATTTAGGAAGAGATTAAAAAAAAAACACCCAAAACCTCAAGGCCTGTTGGCATACTGTTTTACAAATATTTTTAACTTTTGAAAGAAACATGATGCAATAATCACCATTTCATAAAATATTATCAGCCTCTGGATTCTATGGAACAGAAGTATATGCATAGAAGATTCTAGCAAAAAGTATTCAAGATTAACCAATAGATTATTCCTGACAAAACTAAGGATTTACTGTTGAAATTTATACCAAGTCTTCATAGGAATAAGTTACTTATAAAGCTCCACATTAATTATCAGCAGCCATTCAAGCACGTATTTTTAAATGTCACGTGATAGGTTGAAATTCTTCTGATTTCCAGGAAAGTATTTATGCTCTATTTTTAGCTCCGTTCCAATTTGTTTTCTGGGTTTTGGCCAGACTATTTCATTCTTCAACCCAAAGGGTGCTGGGACCGAAGTTAAGTCTCATAACACATGCATTATCATAGCAAAGATTCCATTTGTTTTGAATGTTTCTGCAATACATTTCAACTTGTACTAACCCATGAGCAGCCTATAGCTATAAGCATTGGCTTTTATGATTTAGAAAGGAGTTTTAATGACTTGCTTTTGTGATCTTTTATTTTAATAGCACATCTCTCTGCCTGTGACCTTAGAGAGAACAAGTACATAATGCCATCTGTAATATATAATAATTGTAATATATGTAATATTCACAGACTGCTGCTCTTGTGCTCTTTTAGCTATCTGTCACCCTGCTTGTAAGAATGGTGGTTACTGCGTGAGAAATAATGTCTGCTCCTGTCCTGAAGGATATGCTGGCAAGAGATGCCAAATCAGTAAGACACACCTAAATCTATTTGCCAAATTCAGGTAAAGCCTTCACAAAACAGTTTCTACATAACTCACTGTCAAGGCTCTTCTTACTCAAAGTAACCTTGTAGGACAGAACAGAACTGCTCCAGTGGGTTTCTAAGGCTTTGGATTTTTTTTTCGTCTGAGTTCAAGTTAAATACTACTACAAAAGATCAATGGGCTTATGCCCCACTACTAGTACATGATACACATCAGCTGCCCTGCCCAGAAGAGCTCAGGGTCATTTTCACTGGGGTGTAGAGACGGCCTCTCCCCAGCCCCTACAAAAAAGCCTATCATATTATCAAATACCATGTTTCAGCAGAGTCTAAGGCCTTAGGTTTGAAACACAAAGAAGAGTACAAAAGAGGTTTTGTTTGTTTTTCTCAAGGCTACTCATTGCAGCCTAGCACTGAAATGGTCCAGTGCTCACTTCTGCTTGGCAAAATACTCTGTTGTTCTGGATGTCAGGCTTGATAGTATCACTGCCAGGCTTCCAACCAGCTGGACACACTTCTCCATGTTTATCCTTGAACTGGAAGGCCTGAGCGAGTCTTAGAGTCTCATCCAAAGCGGCCAACAGGGAGGTCATTTACAGTGATCTGCCTAAGGATTCTTTTATCATCAGTGAAGAGGCCCCTAAATGAGATGCCCTCATCCACCTTTAAGACCCCATAGTCCTGAGCAATGGTGCGCTTGGGGCCTGATACCAAAGGAATTTTCATAGGTCCTAGGCCGCCTTCTTTCTTGGGTGTGTTGATCCAAGCCAGATGGCAGAAGTGAGAATCAAAGAAGCACCAATCACTTGGCATTTGAGCTTCTTAAATTCTTCTGCCCTGTCACTGAAAGCAATGATCTCCGTAGGGCACACAAAGGTGAAGTCAAGAGGGTAAAATAAGAACACTATGCATTTTCCTTTAGTCAGGCTGATATCTTTGAACTGACCATCAGGCATAACAGCTGTAGCTTTGAAGTTGGGGGCAGGGTGTCCAATTTTGTCACCAGTTCCTGATGACATCGTGTTAACAGCATAGTGCACTAAAAGAGTGAACACCATTCACCAGCCAGGAAGAGAACATCAGGTTTTGGATTTCTACGAGAGCAGATAATCTCATGTTTTTCCCATGAAGGGGCCATGGTACTTGAACCACTGACTCTGGGGTCAGCAGCCCAACACTTCATCCCCTGTACTACCAAGGTTCCTGGGTTTCTAGATAAGGACTAACATTTCACACTGTTCTCCTAAGGTATCTGCGATCCTGTGTGTATGAATGGAGGGAAATGTGTGGGACCAAACATTTGCTCTTGTCCTTCCGGTTGGAAAGGAAAGCAATGCAACATACGTAAGAGGAATCCGCTTAAAATACTGTCTTCCTTCTTCGGGGGGACTTAAGGAGTTGGAAACAAAAAGGATTTCTTTGTTTTTGCTTTACTTTTTTGTATGCTACTCTTTTAGAGATGTCATTTTAAACCAGAAGAATGAAAATGTAAAGCCATACGAACTCATTCTTTCAGGATAGCAGAGGAAAAAATGTCCTCTCTACACAATTATTATTTGACATCAGCAACTACTAGGGTGTATTTGTGGAAGTGAAACAGTGGGGGCAGCATAAATGCCCAACAATTGAGGAGAAGTTAAATCGCAGGGCATCCAAACACTGTACAAATATTAAAATCACATTTTCTAAGAATGTGTAATGATGCTAGAAAATGTTTTGGATAAAATATTAAGGGAAGAGATGTTTTCATCATTTGGCTTTGAACCCTCACCTCTGTTTTCTTTCTTTCAATTTTTGGTTGTTTGTAATAAGATTAGGCTAATAGTTACACTTTCAACTTGCTTATATTTGCAGCTATCTGCTTTCAAAGATGCAAGAACGGTGGTGAATGTATTGCTCCAAGCAAGTGCCATTGTCCTGCTACCTGGGAAGGGATCCAGTGCCAAATACGTAAGCCTACCAGCTTTGTCTTCAACTCGACGTTGTGACTCTAAATCTGTTACAATGGCCAGGAGGACCCAGATGCTAATCCTTTTTTTTTTTTTTTTTAAGTTTGGTTTTGGAAATGTTTTTATGTACTTAATACCTATTGAAAAGAAAGGATAGTGTAATACAGTGATGCTTTGTGTAGCATAAATCCAAACCCAACCCACTGCCACTGGTTGGATTTTAACTCAGAAGGATCTTATTGGACAAAGGGCAGGTGCTTCTTAGGACTTCTAGGGCTATAAATCCGTTTGACAGCCTCCTCCTACTCCAGCTGAGTACCTGGTGGGTCTGAACCCCATGTGGTTAGCAGCCCAGAGAACCACTGGGACTCCTCGTCGTCCTCGCATTGCATTCCCATCCCCTAGTTACCCTTCTGGTTTTCACGGCTATCCATCTTCACAGGAGCACAAAGCCTCATCCCTCTCCCGAGGAGCAGCTGCTGAGTTTTAAGGACTGACCTTGCAGTTAGCAGCCCAGCGAGTAACCCGCAATGACACCAGGGCTCTGTTGGTGTGGCACAGAAAGTCTTAAATGTGGTCCTTGAGTCTCCGGTGAAGTTCCCTCTGGTGTGCCCCAGAAGGTTTAAATATACAGAAGTTTAATTTTTTTTTCATAGTGTAAGATAAATCCATTTCCTCTGGGAAATTTTAGAAAATATAAAAAAAGAAAGTAATCACTCCAAATACTAATACCCAGAGCTAATTTATGGAACTATTTTGGTATTTTAATAGATTTCTGTACAATGTTAATAATAATTTACTACAGAGATGAGATCTCAGGAATTGAGAAAACTAACATTTTGTGTGACCTTGCATTATGAAAATTTGAACTTGTTTGTTAAAATATGAACAAAGATTCATTCATTTTAAGGACAAAATTATAAATTAGGTTTTTTTCCCCTCAAATGATGAGTAATTATATAATTTCAAAATTGATGAAACAAAGTGTATCGTAAATTAACTTACACAATTGCAATGTGGTGATGTCTTGTCACTAGAAACACTTGCTGTCTTTGTACGTTTGTGAGACACTGCTGCGTCTATGCAATCAGGCATTTTGAGTGCAATTTTGATGCCTCTTCTACTTTATATTAATAGTCACTGCTATTCTAGTTTATGCATTTTCTTATAGGAAAATATTATCAAAGCATTAGCACTTGCAGCAGAAACATGTGCTCAAACATCAAGAATTCTGATCCGAAATTTGATGTGAGGAAATGCTAGGAAGAAGTGAGCAACTGCGATTTGGATTGTTTATTCTGGAAAGAGGTCTATGTGAATCATTTTCAGCTAATGCTGAAAAGCTGTTATGTGTTTGACTGCTAACTACCAGGTCAGCAGTTTGAAACCACCTGCCTGTCAACTGGAGCAAGATAAGGCTTAAATCTAGATTTTAGGGTCCTAGAACCCACTAGGGCACTTGTACCCTGTCCTATAGGTCGCTGAGTTGCCATCGATTCGATGCCAGTGAGATTGAGGTTGTTGGGTTTTTGTTTTTGTTGTTATCTAATGGTTGTAAATGGCTGGAGCCCTAGTAGTGTAGTGGTTACATGTTGGGCTTCGATCCTCATGGTCTGCAGTTCAAAACAACCAGAAGCTCTGCTGGAGAAAGACTGGGCTTTCTACTCCTGTAGCCAGTTATGTCTCAGAAACCCACAGGGAGTCACTATGAATCAGCATTGACTTGGTGGTGAGTGAGTGTATGGTTGTAGACGGAGTTATCTTGAAGAAGCACAGTCTGGTTTGTGCACCCTGAAGTATCTTTGTGGGCTCAGAAAAGTTCCCCTTACAATGCTTCAGAACTGTCCTGATAGTGATATTATTTGAACACGATCTGTTCCTGCAAAGAAACCCTGCGGATGCTACGAGTGCTAAGTGTTGGGCAGCTTACTGGTTCAAACTCACCAGCTGTTGTCTTGGGGAAAGATGAGACTCTGTCTCAGCCAAGATTTACAATCTGGGAAACCCATTATACTCTTACAGGGTAACTATGTCTCCAAATGCACGCCTTGGTGATGGCTTTGACTTTTGTTACTGGTTTTGTTTTGAATGTTACTGCCATCTGCTGGCAAGTTGTTGTAACAAAGATTAAAATCAGTGATGTCTGCAAGGCGCAAGGTGTGTCCTCAGCTGTGGAATCCCTGTGGCTCCTTCAAACTGCCCCACTGCCCACAGCAGCCCTTCAGTGTGTTGCTTACACCAGAGGAAACTTTATTTTTGAAATATGCAACTTTCAATATGAGGTATTGAAACAGTGCTTCTCTGAGAAATGACTGTACGGTACATCATGTCATATTCTGCTTATGCCCACTTACCATTAGTTAAGGGCACATATGCCCTTAAGATGTAATTTTATCAAATTCCATCATGTAATTCACTCAAACTTTCTTCTTATGCTGAATATTCTTTTTATTACTATTGTGGGATCAAATTTATAATAAATATAGTTATTTTACTTTTATGCCAAGAGAGATCTTTTCCATGAAAGTAAAGCTACCTGCTACAAAATCAATCTGCCAGTGATTTGGTTTTTTCCTTTTTCTTTTGTTCTCGAAAAGGCTGTTCGAAACAGCATACAAGCACACACTCATTGACCTGTGATTAAATGAGAAAAGCCTGGCTTCTAATTGGAGTTTCTTGAGAACCCAGGAGTGCATGCGGGTGGAGGAGTGAATCTTCCATGAAGTTACCTTTTTACGGGTTCGGTAGAATCCCGGACCTTGATGCTAGGTCTACATTCTACATTCTACAAGGAGTGTCAAGATGCGATGCAGTCAAGTTCTGAATCAATTATTCCCATAAGAAATAACTCAAACTGGATTAATCTGTTCTCAACCACCACGTTTTTACCCAACCTTGCGTTTTCATTCAAAACGTCACACAGAAATTTCAAAGTAAATAAGTTCAGAGTTAAACGATATAATTTAAATTGAAACGCAACATTAAGAAAATTTTTAACAACTACAATATGGTCCATACCTTGAGACGGATGAGGATCTGGATCTGTGGACACGGATGTGGAGAGGAGGGTGGAGAGAGAGTCGTTGTTGGGAAGGGGAATCCCCTTCCATAAAAAAAACCTGGGAGCTGCTTTTCAGGAGTTTTTTCCTTTTTTGCCTTTTCTCACTAGGACCTGGCTGGCTTTCTCTAAAAAAAAAAAAAAAAATCCATCTAGTGTGGTCTGCTGTTGGTGTTTCCTTAGCTGTTTTCTAAAAGTGTTTACGAAATTATCACCAATATCGATAACACAGTTAACCAGTTCCTTGCCATGATGATTCTTTTCAAAAAACTCTTTCTTAGAACCCATGTTTTTAATCTGAAAACAGTACAAAAGCCACAGAAACTAAGAAAATAATAGCAAAACACTTGGATCACAGCTGCAAAAGGTTTAAACAACGCGTATTAACAACACCAACTAATGCTGAGTGACCAAAACACGAACTGCTTTTGTTTACAAGACTCACCTGCATCAGGTCGGATTCTGATGTTCTGTTTGAGCTCCGATGCAAACTTTTCTCGACATTTCACATGAAATCCGATTATGTGAAGTACTGATGTGGTCTACTCCCAGGGTTCTGCTGTACCTCAAGCCCCAAACCAAACCAATGGCCAGTCCATTCTGACTCGTTGCCACCTACATGGGGTTTCCTAGGCTATATATTTTTACAGGGTGGAGAGCTTTGTCTTTCTCCTGCAGAGCTGCCAGTGGGTTTGAACCCCATACTTTGTGGTTAGCAAGCTAACTTTTACCCTCTAGTGCCTAAATATGCCATCATCATGGAAACCTGTATTCTTTCAGCAAAACCCTTTTTAGTCTTATAGTTTTCCATTTCCTAGGAGACCTCGCCTCTTCTTGTGTGAGGGGACGTTTCTCCAATTTGCAAATTGTTTATTAAATCATAGAACAATCAAATATTTATTCTTTTAGATTAATACATTATTATATTTTAACATGATTCTAAGTGTTATAAGCATTTTCTCTATATGTAGATAATGATATAGATATATAGGATGCCAAGATATAAATTTGTTAAATTGGGAGAAATATCAAGAGAGAACTTTCTAGTATAGACAGTGTGAAAACCTGTAAGAAAGCCTGGAATTGATTTACATTAAACTCCTAATGATTCTATGTGATTTTGCTTTTCTTCATATATTGCATTGGCTAGTATTGGATTTTTCTCTTTTTAGTTCTTGCTAAATTGTTAAAACTAAATTATAAACATTTTCTGTTATCATTTGACTCTCCTCTCTTTCACACAAAATAGGAAGTGGGCAAAATACTTTAAAATGAATTTGATGGCTCAGATAACATCTTTACAGAAGTACTGAAATGTTGGCTAGAGATTGGGTTGTGTGCTTTTCTCTTTGTGCATGTATGTGCGTCTTCTGTTTGCAGGCAGATGGGAGTGCAGACATCCATTTCTAGTGTCTTATAACCTACTTTAGTGCAACAGCTACTAAATAGCTTCAGAGAACTGGGAAACAACATGTCGTACGCACTCCATGTCAAAAGATGATAAAGGTAACAATTGTGTATTGCAGCAATTTGCAATCCCATGTGTCTTAATGGAGGCAGATGTCTATTACCCAATGTGTGTTCTTGCCACACTGGATATTCTGGAGTCCGATGTGAAAAGAAAATTCAGGTATGTTAAGTGAATATTAACTATTGGCATCTGCATATCTTCCCAGATAGTCAGTTTGGTAACTTTTATCTATCTGCTTTATATCTGAAGGGGCTGGGGGAGGGGGGGAGTGCTGCACAAGAGTTGAATGTTTGTCTCTAACATTAAAAAGGGATATCATATTAGTGTCGTTATAGAATTTTTTTTTCTATGCGCACTTGGGGAATTTCAACTGCAGCATCATATTCCATGATAGTGGTGCTGAAGGAGAGCAAAGATTCCACCATCAGTGTTTAAGACACCACCTTTTCTGTTTGGTCAAACGTTAGCTGGACCTCACCACTTAAAAAATGAATCTCTCACTCTTAACTCCATAACTCATGGTGTCGTCGAAGTAGCCCTAGGTAGTTTTCAGCGGGTTGTGTTTCTGTGATCAAATCTGTGTTTGTAAAGATTAAATTGATTTTTGTATGGTCTCTAATTTTAAAGTTTCATATATCAACTGCCAAAATATGTTTGAGGCTCAGAATCCCCTTCATGGTGTAGGGATTATGCGTTGGGCTGCAAACGTGAAGTTCAGTGATTCAAAACCCCCGGCTGCTCTGTGGACAAAGCTGAACCTTTCTTCTCCCATAAAGAGCGACAGTCTCTATAACCCACAGGGACAGTTCTCCTTGTCCTATCAGGTCGCTATGATTTGCAGTCACCTCTATGGCAATGATTCTGTTGTTGTTTGAGAGTCACCAAGAGTCAGAATCAATTCCTCAGCACCTCCCACTGCCCATACAGACCAGAGTGGTTCTAACCATCACAAAGTAACGCAGCAGGACTCTAAAAATATTCTTAAACCTAATCTGTTTTGGTTCTAAAATCAGTGCATGTTAGAGTACTCTGATTTGAAGGAAAATATTTTTAAAACGTTGTTTTGACTGTATGAATTTGACTATTTCTCTCTATTTCTATTTTTGTGTTTTTATTTACATCTAAGGATTTCCTTACATAACCAGAGGCATAATATATTCATTCCTACTAATGTTGCTTCAAGGACTCTCTCTGGACCATGTTAATGAAAGAATAGACGTTCATAGGAAGCAAAAAGGGGAAAAGAAAAATAAGATATATGAGAGGCTGTGGTAATTTCTTTTGTAAGAATGAGTACCAGATTAGTTCCAAGGAGTTGGAGATTCAAGATGTCCCAAATGTCCAACTCTTCGAAGATGCTATTCTGTTCCATTTCCCATTCTCCCTTCCCCCCAGTACTCCTCCTTGAATCCATTCCTTCAGGTCCTTAGGTTCTGTGATTCAATGCAACGTCACACAGAAACTCAAGAAGATTTGAAGAATTATCTCATGTGGTGTTGGCCCCATTCAGTCTTAAATTTGAGGGCAAGTCAAATGCAGGGTCCAGAACCAGAAACCAAAAATGTCTAAAACTTACAACAGGTCTTCTTGCTTCTACGAAAGCTTGGTCAGGAACTAATGGCATGGCTTTCCGGGTGAGGTGAGGAGATGTGAACTGTATGGTGGTTATCTAGCTATCTACCTGTCATGTCCAAGGAAAACAAAGGATGCTATCTTATGTCACACATTCTACTAAGATAGAGTCCAAGATACCCCCAAGGACATGAAGGGTGTGACTTCATTCATAGCCTCTAAAATCAGGTATTAATTCCATCCTAATCCTGGCCATTAGTATAGCAGAAAACACCCTCCAAAATGGGATGATAGCCATATTCATGTAAAGACAAGAATTATGTCACATCTCTTATAGGAATTGTGGCTAAAAGGGCCATATTAATTGACTATAACTCAGGGGCTTTGAAAAGTTCATGGAAAATGGAATTAAAAGATACCATAGTTTGTCCACAAACTGTTTGATGTTGTGTCCTTAGATGCCATCCAGAGCATTCTGACCCATAGCAACCCGATGTACCACCGAACAGAACACTGCACCGGCCTGTGCCCGACTCATACTTATGCTTATGTTTGAGCCCATTGTTGCAGCCACCGGGTCAGTCCACCTACTTGAGGGCATTCATTCCCCTTCCATTTTACCAAGCATGATGTCCTTCTCCAGGGACTGGTCTCTCCTGACATGTCCAAAATATGTAAGACAAAGTCTTGCCATCTTTGCCTTTGTGGAGCACCCTGGCCATACTTCTTCCAGGACAGATGTGTTTGTCCTTTTAGCACTCCATGGTACTTTCAGGATTCTTTGCCAGCACAAGTCAATGTATCAGTTCTTCTTTGGTCTTCTTTATTTAATGTCCAACTTTCATTCACATGCGTATTTGGCAATTGAAAATGATCATGGCTTGGATTAGGAGTACCTCAGTCCTCAAAGGAACATCCTATCTTTTCAATACCCTAAAGAAGCCTTGTACAGCAGCTTTATCTGACACAACTCATCTTTTGATGGCTTGCTTGCTGCTTCTCTGAGAATTAATTGTGGATCCACACAAGACAAAATCTTTGACAACTTCAACCTTTTCTCCATTTATCTTGATGTTACCTGTTGGTCCAGTTGTGAGGATTTTGCTCTTTTTCACCTTGAGTTGTGATCCATCCTGAAGCCTACAGTCCTTAATCTTTCTCACCAAGTGTTGCAGGTTCTCTTCACTGTCAGTAAGCAAGGGTGTGTTATCTGTGTATTGCTGGCTGTTAATAAGCCTTCCTCCAATCCTGATGCCACATCTTCTTCATATAATCCAGCTTCTCTCATAAAGATTTGCTTATTTTTGAATAATTATGTGAGAAGATACAACCCTCTTGCAGACCCTTTTTGATGGCCCCTCATATAAAGACCACCTTTACTCTAACCTGCTCTCTGAATTTCAATACCAGTCTTGTTTCATTCTGTTACCATATTTGTTTTTGATGTTTCTTTGGCTCTGTACCATATAGTACAAAGGGAGTCTTCTTTAGTAAGAAAACAATAACAACTGGGGCCATCACTAACTAGCTCCCCTCTGCTCCTCTTCTTATTATCTTGTGCAAAGTAGAGTGCAGGCTGGCTGAATTACCAGCTGGTTCTTTCGGCACTCTGCAGTGAGAAAAGTCATGGAGGATACTTGATTGGATTACAGGGATTTCCCTGAAAGGACCTAGAGTGACTGAGTAGAGCCAGAAGACGCAGAGAAGGGAGAACTGGGAGAGGAAGAAAGAGGCATTAAAGAGGGTGTTGTTATTCAGTTGATTTCAACCCTGGGCATCACCACCTAGGACCTCATGTATGCCAAGTAGGACATTCAGAAGCAGATCATCAGCTTGTCTTCTGGGTACTTCTGAGTAGGTCTGAATCACTCGCCTTTTAACTAGGAGCCTAGCATCTAAACATTTGGCCACCAAGGGATGCCTGCTTATGAGGGAAAAATGGATCAAAGCTTTGAAAGGCATCAGAACCTTCTGTCAAGCTGCCTGGCTCACTTACCATGGGCTCTTCCACTTCCTCTCTTGGTAACCTTCTCACTGCCATTGAGTTGATTCCAATTCATACACAAGGCAGAACTGCTCCTGTGCGTTTCCAAAATGTGGGTAACTCTTTAAAGGAGTAAAAAGGCTTGTCTGTCTCCTACAGAACAACTGGTGGTTTCCAATAGGTGTGTTCAATGTGTAACATCCTAAGCCACCAGGCCTCCTTGGTGACCTTAGGTAAATTACTTAACCTCTCTGGACCTCAGTTTTCCTCATCTACAGTACAGGACAATCATAGGTTTATTGTAAGGAATACCTAAGTTAACACATGGTGCAGCACCTCAAACAATGCCTGGCACCTAGTAAACACTGTGCAGGAGTGGTCTATTTTTATTACATTCAATGAGGAGAAGATGAGAAAAGATGCTTGGGAGAAATGTTGCTGTGTGCTATGAATATAAACTACCAGTTCCTGAAGGATATCTTTCAAAATTTTATCTGGTTTGGTTGAGTTGGATATTTCTTGACTGTAACACTTTGCTAAGATGGTTTGCAACTACTTTCTTCTTCACATATCATCTCAATTAGACCCCAATTTTATAAAACCTATGTCGATCCACTTGTAGCAAACATACAACCAAACTAGTTTTACATATCATGGTGTGTTAGTCCGGGTTGACTAGAGAAACAAATTCATAGACACTCATATATGTATAAGAAAGAGTTTTATATACAAGAGCAATTGAATATTGAGAAAACATCCCAGTCCAGTCCAGATCAAGTCTATAAGTCTGATGTCCGATACTAATCAACAAATTCCTCTTCAGACTCATGCAACACATGCAATGACATCGGATGCAGGGAGATCACAGGCCAGTGGGTGCAGAATCTTGTGGATACAGTGGTGGTGGAAGCATCTCAGCGCTGGCAGGGGTCTCCAGGTGGCTCCTCTAGGTCCAGGGCACTGGTGTAACTCCATTTGTCTTGTCTGCAGGAGGGTCTCATAGGGAGTGAGGGTGTGTCCCACCTCCAGTGAGCTATTATCTTCTTAGTGGCTCCAAATGAGGTCATCAAGCTGCAACCTGATTGACAGACTAAACTCCATCCCTTCACTCTTGAGTCTCAGATTCACAACAGATTATGTAACTACGACACATGGTAAAGAAAAAGAGGCAACGCATAATGATTAAGAATGAAAGTGATTTTCCACTGCTCACTTAAACTTGATTCTCCTCTTTTTACTACAGGTAAAACACCATTGAGTCACATCAAATATATAAATTACAAGCCTGTGTCATAAGGAATGAGTTTTTCTATTCAGAAGAGTGAAGATAACTACTTGCAGTTTATCTGAACATCAGTTTAAGAATATTTTAAAGATGATAGAAACTACTAAATATGAAGTTATCTTAGTTGTCATTGTTAGAGAAAAAAAGAAAGGAAGAAAAGAAATCCAAGTTATCTAAATAGGATGTTGATGTTTACATTTGCATATTAAATGGATTTACTGATGTATCTGATATTCCAGTCAGTGACAATATTAATAAACCAAAAACCTTCCCATTTCTTACTGCGATCCTGTCTATGTTGTCAGGGATCAGTTAGCGCAACAGAAGCCCTGGGTGTGTTCCAGGTATAAGCGGTTCAGTGAAGATCACCAGCCTGTCTCACAGGGTTAGGGGTTGACCAGATTGCTTCAAGAGTTGGGATGGGACTGGGGAAGGAAGGGTCATAAAAAGGTCTCCAGAAGGTCTCAGTCTGGAAGGATACGGAAGAAGCACCACACAGGGGCTTTACAGAAACCTTTGGGGAGCTGCTGTGATCGTTGAGAACAGACAGATTACCCAATAAGCAAGGTCAACCAAACTCATTTAGCCTTTGAGTCAATTCTGACTCATAGTAATCCTATGGGTAGAATAGAACTCCCCCGTGTGTTTCCTGGGCTGTAAATCTTTATGGGAGTAGAAGCTTTCTCCTTCTCCCAAGGAACACCTAGTGGATTTGAACTACTGACCTTGTGGTCGGCAGTGCAATGTGTAAGTCACTATTCCACTAGAGTTCCTAATAAGTGAGGTGTGTGTGGGTTTATGTGTGCTTATTTACTTATCTATAATGAACCATTTCAAACAGGTTTCACCACATCAAACATGTGAAGTTGTTTACTACAGATTAGTAGGGGTTATAGTCAGTCTGTCATTACCTGGCTTATTGGTACTTTGTCATGTCAGGTACTGTACATTTGATAACAAGATTTTGATTCTGTAGGAAGGTGCAGGGGGGTTAGGGGAGTGACAGATGCCAGTCATATCTAGAAGCAGATTCTTTGATGTAGTGAGAGAAAAAAAAGTGAAATTGCTCACTACAGATTAGTAAACACAAGTAAACTTGTGCATACCTTGCTTATTGGATAATCCAACACTGCTTGAGGATGAAGCATTAACTATTGTAGCCAAAGTGCATGATTTCTCAACTGGAAAGCACCTGAGAATGTTTCACCTGTCCAAGTATTTAAAAAATAATGACTTTCTCTGCATATTATTCTTCCTATTCTTAGGCACGTTCTTCTCCGTAGCAAGATTTAACCCAGAACCAAAAAAGGAGGCCCACTGCACATTGGTCAGGTGCTCAGCTGCAACTGAGAGGCTGGCAAATCCCCTAGTCAGCTTTGTGAGAGAAAGATACAGCGACCTAGTCTACGTCCATCAAGATTTACCATCTTAGAACCCCTATGGGCAGTTCTATTCCTTTAGGGCCCCTATTAATAGAAATTGATTCTACAGTAATAAGTTTGAAACCAACACACACAGGGAATAGGATTCTGGAAAATGTAATTCCTTAGACGGGAAGGACAGTTATGCTCCAGAGTAACTGGACTTCCTCAGAAAAGCTAGATAGTTTGCATCTTCGAACTGTCGCCTGTATTCAGAAAATCAGTCATCACTCTTCAGGGTCAGAAACACCAAACACCCACTTCTCACTTAGCAACACAGTTGGGTCCCAAAGACCAGGTCATTGGGTGAAAATCAATGTTGTGTGAAAATGACATAGCTCCCATGGGCAGCCTCCCTGTAGAACGGTCTATGATGCCAGATGGAAATGGCCCAAGAGGCTCCTGCAGGCCATGGCGTGCTGCAAGCCTTGGTCTCCAACTTCCCGGGTCACAGCGCTCTACTGCTCCCCATGCTCTGCCCTTCCCGCCGCTCTGAGTTACCACCCCCCTTCAGCCTGTCCCTCTGGGTCCCGTGCCCCACGGGTGGGACTCCCTTCTTCCTGGGACCCTTTCCTCTCCAGATACGTTTCCTGGACAGCAAACCACCTGCCCCTCCGGCAGCCCAAGCAGCGGATTCAGGCTTCTTCCCAGATGAAGCCGCCGCTCCCTCCCTTCGCTCCTGCACCCCGTCCTGGGCAGCTCCTGCGGTCCTCTCCTCCTGCTGTTTCTGGGGTTTCAGTTCCTCCTTTTCTACAGGCTAAGTCACAGAGCCTCGCCAACCGGCCGGCCACAGAGCCAGGGGCCTCTCATACCTCTTCCAGTTGGGCTCGTTGCACGGCCACCGTCTTCATGTCGCGCTCCCCCAAACCCCCCCCTCCCCCCCTAGATCTACAGCCTCGTGGTCCCGCTCAGCTAGCTCTGCTAACCTTGGCCAGCTCCAGATGCTGAAAGTCCCAGATGAGAGCCCCAAGTGGTGGGCCCTGGCTCCCACAGCCAGGGCTGAGCCGCATCCTCCAGGGCACTTTTCATTGGCGATGTTCTCCGAGCAGGCTCTCACCCTGCCCTTTCGTGAAGGCCACACTTCAGGCATCGGCATCGATTCTCCGATAGAAGTCTCACTATTGTCATCCGTGCTGTCTGTGTATATGCCTCTCCAATCTTTCTACTGCTCTGGCCTAATATTCCAGGGAAGTGGGAAGAAGTAACTAAATTTGATCTTAAAAGACTACCTTGGTCGTTGTAAAAAGAGACCCTCAAAACGCTTATTATCTTTCCACTCTTTAAAGTCCCACAGCCCAAGAATGATTATCACAAAGCCACACCCCCCTACAGATGTCAAAAGTGAAGTGGAAATTTAAAAGAAGCCAAAGTAGATTGAGTGTTGGGAAAATGAGTAATGTCAACAAGGAATAAAATAATTGAAAGATTTCTCAGAGATGCAGCTAATTGCGAGTTCAAGAGCAACTCTCTGAACCCATTGCTGTCTGATGGGGTCTGACTCACAGCGTTCTTTATAGATCAGAATGGAAAGGCTCTCAAGGTGGGGTCTTTACAGATCCAGCATGCCTCATCTTGCTCCGGTGGAGTGGTGGGTGCGTTTGAACTGCTAGTCTATGATTTTCAATTTGAACATACTCATATTAAATAGTACGAGCTTAAATGCAAACGTATTTTATCTTCTAAGTAGAAAAACTGAACAAAAGCTCCTAAGCCACGTCTAAACGACAAGCAAGAGCCCCAGCGGCGCAATTCAGTGTTGCACTCCGCTTCCAGGCTGGTGCCTTTCAGCTCCCGCAAAGATTGACAAGCAGCCCTGGCGCTGGAGTGCGGTACACGCTGGGTTGCTAACCGCCAAGGTCCGCAGTTCGAAACCACTAGCAGCTCCGCAGGAAAAGGACAAGGCTTTCTACTCCCATCAAGAGTTAAAATTCAAAAAGTCCAAAGTGCCATCGAGTCAACGCTGACTCACAGCGACCCTACAGGACAGGATAGAACTGGCCCTGTGAGTTTCTGAGGCCATAACTCTTTATGGGAATAGATTGCCCCTTCTTTCTCCCACCGAACAGCTAGTGAATTGGAAAGATTTGCAATAGAATTGACTCGATAGCCTTT